AGCCTCAGGAAGGTGATTTGTCAGACCAGATTGGAGCAGGCGGGCGTTGGTGTGTGTGCGCATTTGCTAGCTACCGCAAGAAGATGAGCGTTGGCACATTTTGCGGCACATATGATTGGCTATCCCAGATGCGGGCCGAGACATCCAATCATGTAAACTCATGTGGGGCGTGGGGCCGAAGATGGAAGGCGCTACAAGGTCAGCACAAGTACAATAACGTTACCAAATGGCCTGCGAAGTGACTTAGTGTTTTCGGCTGAAGAGGTATTTGTGTCGGCCAGAGTCAATTGTTTGGAATCGATTTGTGGGGATGCAACTTTGATTGCCACCCATGACCGCGCTGTACTCAAGCCTCTGGAGTCTGGAGCTAATACAAGTCTGGTAGTGAACTCTGATATGAAAACGTGAATTTTGGGCACGTTAGGGTTGACCACACGATATAAAAGCGAAGGCAAGACAGGCAGTCGATGAGCTGAACTGCCAATGCGTGTGTGTATGCGTTCAGGGCACCAATCTCCTGAAGAAGCGCCGATATCCACTCGACATACTCGCCTCACGACTAACCGAGTTGGGGCTGTCGAGGCATGTTATTGGTTGACTGGTTTACATAATCAGAATAATAATTGGTTACTGTTCATCAGTCGGACTGCGACACCCTGCTCGCAATATTTGCGCCTATGGTTTGCTTCTTACTTGCCGCGTGTTCAGGCCAATTTAACATTCTGATGTTCTCTTAGAAATGGGAAGACACGAATCTGAATGAACATTCAGAAGACGTAGGGGGCACGTGCAGTTTCCATAGAATTCACGGGGCAAACGCTAGCAATGGGAACTGCCAAAATGGCATTCCCATCCCCAGTTATGTATACGTTACCTGGCAGAACTAATCTCGTTATTTACCTTTGTGTACTCTGCTTGTTTAAACGAAATCGCGGCGGCTAATGTATGACAAACTTCTGTTTCATGCCTAGGGAACCACTTTCTTTAAAACTTTCATCCAAAGCAGAAGGTATCGTCTTCCAAAAAAACCTCAGACACGCTCTGTAAATTTTTAGGAGCGACGACTGGACTTATTCAGAACGCAAGTGTCACCAGTGAAGAAATAGTACTCGCCGTATTCATTTTCGTGGTGGGTCTGGGCCTTACCTACGGCGGCATCTCCGGCATCTACACCACAACCTACATCTACGTTGGCTTCTACCTCTGGTTCACCCTTATTCTCGGCTGTGCAGTGTTCCTGGAT